GTTCGCCCCCGGAGTCCAATTGACCGCGGGGGGTGAGGGCGGTGGCGGCCTCTCGTTGGCTGCAGATGGCGTCGAGATAGTTGAGCCAAGGAATTTATATTCGACTTCCGTGTTCGCTGGCATTGACCATTAAACAAATGACCCAGGAGTCTCTTTAGCCTCGCCAAATGAGGCTGCCTTTTTTTAATGAAATTAACTCCCCTCTCGCATTTAATTCCGCTCACTCCGCGCCCTCTCCGCGCGCCCACTTCGGCCACATCCTGGCCATCCCGCTGCGACGAATTGATACGCGGCGGAAGAATTCACAAATAAATACAACACGTGTCCTGTGAGCGAGAAGAACGATGAGGAGCGACATGAAAACAGGACGATCCAACAGGTTACACTCGAAGCACTTTAAGTAGTTGTTCTACATGAAGTCCATCGTTCTCACCCAGCCCTCAAATGTGCCTAATTATGCAAATTATATGTGGTTTGTCTGACTGATAGCAATTCTGCCATCGTCCAGTGCCACTCACGATGCTTCGCCACATAAATAACACAATCGCCTGAAGGTAGACGAAAGCAAAGGTGTGTGCTCGCGCATCCCTCGCAAGCATATCGTATCTTCACCCGAGAACTAATCATTTTCCTCACTCAACTAGACTTTCTTCTCCAAATAAATTCACCAATTTATGGCCCATCGATTGGCGCTGGATTATTTATTGGAGACGCAGATGTTCTCAGGGCATTTGCCTCTCTGGGGCGCGCGAGAAATAGGAAAATGGAGAGCGGGAGAATAAGTAATTCTTGCGTGTCGCACATTTTATATATTCAGACTTCCGCCAGGTCGAGGGTCATAGCCAAATAGTGTCTTCAACTGCGAGAAGTAATTCCTTTAGCCTTGACTTAGGGTTACAACACTGTGCGTGGTGTGTACATAAATTAATGAAAAATAAACTTCTTTTACAAAGAAATTTTACATTCTTGTGACATTTCCGGGGTATTTTTATTAATGAATGTAAGACACTTAGTACACTGTGAATTCTGCTCGAACGGGTTGCCAGATTCGAATTGTCAAAATTACCTCCAACGATTTTCTTCTCTTTCTCTTAATTTAATTTCTTAAACTGTAAAACTATCAGAGAGGAATGCGAAGAAAGGTCTGGGAGGAAAATTAATTGACACTGCTCTCAAATTAACTGCAAGAAAACTGCAATATTTGGGGTACCAGATGGAAAATTATTTCTCCACGTTTTTCCGCAATTTGCCAACTAAGCGACTCTATTATAAGCTCTAAATCCGAACAATTTGAATGAGATTTTTCCGTTTCTCGAATCGTCTGATGAATTTTAAGAGGACATTCAAAATATTCTCCATGATTCACGACTAAAAGAAGAAACCGTGAACTGAAAGTAACCTCCTTGTTTATGCCAATTGTTCCGAAAGACTCTCGACAAATTCCTGCGTGCCGAAGAATTTGTCTACTCGCTGGCCACTCAATTGTACACTCAACTTGAAATTGCCATGCAAATGAAATCACCGAAGACATTGATACCGAATTGACCTCAGTGTCAGCCGATCAGCTAACATTATTTCTTGTCACACTTCCGATCTCGATGCCCAGGACAGGCGAAGGGAAAGCCAGGCCAAGTATTATGCCACAGCACGACACTTCATTGCACTCTGGTGCCCCCCATCCGCCCCTCCCTCCCCCCTCTGCCACGTGTGCTTAAAAATGTTCAACACATATTTTGTATGGTTAATTAAAAAGCAACAGCAAATAATGAAATGTAAATTCTGACATTAAATCCCCTCGCGTTTGGCGGAAAAAAACGCGGTAACATAATTTGAGTGATGTCTGCGACTCTTTTTCGCCTGCTGGGAATGCCTGGAAAAATGACGGAAAAAATCAATAATATCGAGGGTTGGAAGGGGGATGAAAAGTGGTGTAAAAAAAAGATTAACCAGGCGTCTCCACTGAACTCTTAATGTGGTTTCAATAAATTGCCCAAGTCCAGCTGACAAAGATCCTGGGGCTTAATATATTTCCTGTGAAAGTGCAGAACTTGTTAGGATGGCGATATAAATCATTAAAATAATATCCACACAAGTGGACCCCAAATTGCAATACCGCACGAGTAGTCATCTGTCTTTGTACAACACGAGAATTACCTCGTTAGAGCAAATGTTTCGCCCCACAGAGTGGCCAATTGATAGAAAATTGCCATTTGGATGGGCTGTACGCCATGCGGAGCCACTCTATTGATTAACCAGCGCGGTCACCGCCATGGAATTTAAAATGAAACCATCATTTGTCCAATTTAGAGGCAATGCGGTGATAAAATATATCACAATTTTTGTCAACCATCAGCACTGCATTTGATCCGGTTAAACCGCCACTTTATTGTCCACACCGATGAGGGCGCGCCGGAGGGAAGAGGACAGCATCCCCGTCGCGTCTTTTTCTGCGGGACGCCTGGGGATTTGAGAGAGGAAATCTCGTTGATTGTTTTGAATTGCGCGCCGCGCGCGATTCCCATACAATCCATCAACATTTGCCATGGCGATTGGACGAGAAGCAGCCAAAAGGCGTGGCACTGTGGTTAGTTTAGGAGTACTCACCCATACCCATGTTTTTTGCTCAACCTTCGAATACACACGCTCAACATCCAAACATCATGTTGGACTCAATTCTCGGGTATCCGTTCGACAAGAGCACAAAGGTGAGCTGCGGCGAAACATGGCAACATCAGCCAGAAAAAGAAAATGCGCGCTGCCATTCCGGCGGCGTCGAGGAAAGCATAGAATTGCAGAGAACACTGGCTATGCTGTATCGGCAAATTTGAGGGATAATCTCAAGTGGTGCGACCCCCAACCCCAGCCAAAAGGCGCTCATTTGAATTTGAGAACATCCCCGAAGAGGGAAAAAAATCAATTTCCAGGAACGAGCATCAGAGCCTACGAGAAAAAGGGGATCAGAGGAGTTCCCGACCACGACAGTCAAGTATACATCGAAAAATGTAGTAATTATTTAACCCTTGAGGGTAGACGGTGTTACACGCTCGGGTACAGGGTGAAATTTTATCTGAACGAGATAAAAAGAGAAGGGAGCATGGCTCTCGGAGGGACGGAAAAAAGCGACAAGAATGGGAATCAACCTCTCGAGTTCGTACGGGGAAATAATGCGGTTCCACCATCCCAGGGTTGGGGCGATGCCGTGCGAGAGAGGAGATAAATTTGTTCAGTATGCTACTAACATTGGCATTACGAGAACACAGGTCCTCAGGGAAAAATCAAGACGCGCAAGCTCCAAAAATCCCCACAACCTCCAACCCTCGGCAAATCGCACGAGCATTTGATTTGCCAAGTCTTACAGATGTCCCAGCGTACGTCCCAAATACGAGTCACTTCGTTTTTACACGGACAATATGCAATTAAATTGAGCTAAAACTCATTTCGATTGGTTTAATATGTATGGATTAGGCGTTAGCTCTACTTGGCTTATTCTGAACAGGGATTTTGTGGTCAGTTCTGGTAGAATAAACTCGATTTAGGGATGAATTTAACTTCGGTTCCAAGCCTTGCTAAATACGAAAGGTTGCTAATCATATTCTTTATTTTTTTCTGCATAATTTTCGTTCTCTGCACATCCTTTTCAGGCCATGGCGTCACTTTTTCTTCCCTTGTTTTCTTTGAAAGGTTCCAGAATATGAAAATACGCCAATATCGATCGGTTTAATCCGTGCATTTCACCTCATTTTCCCGCGCTCGCCAAAATTTTAAACTCCCAAACGAGCCATAAAATTTCGGTGCTGATCCAGATCCAGGATCTAGGTGTGCTCAGAAGTCAAAGAGCAGAAGCTTTGAAGTTGGCAAGTTGCCGAATAAATATAATTATTGCTGTGAATTGAGTGTAACCGTGTAATACACTTTGTATCGCTTCTAAACTGCAAACAATTCTCCCACCCATCACGGCAGCTCACAAAATAGCGTCGGTGACAAATCCTAAACCCACAGCCACCCACCGGGCGGCTCACTCCCTGCGCCGTCTTATGTACTCTCCTCCAACACAGTGTAGCAACATGGTTTTATGTGCACGAGAGAGAGCCTTCAAACGGCGTGTCGAACATCCGTTTTTAGCTCTTCTCGTGAAAAGACGACAAGAAGCTCTCCAGATGGAGCGAGAGCGAGAGAGGGAGCGCAAGGGGTGGCGGATGGAGTGAAAGAGAAAGTGAGCTCTACCACCTCTCTGGGGGACTGTAACGACCGAATAAATAAACTGAACGACAATGTCAAAACACCACCGAAACTTGATGCTAATTTTCTAAATATTCCCAATTAACTGATGACTCCGTAGTTTGGGTGTGTTAAAATGGGAGCCTCGGCCGCACTATCGCTGTGGCCGCGCGCGTTCCCCTCAATCGCGCGCGGCTGTGTGGGAAAAAGTTCAACCGATTCGGTGGTGGTGTGGGTGTGTGACAGAGAGGCACACGGGCCGGTAAGAAGTCATTTGATTTGCTTCCCAAGCGTCGCCGTGTGGAAGGAGAGAAAAATGTGAGGAGAAGTCGAGTGGAAAAATTCGAATGTGTGAGAATTCTTCAGCAGCCTCGCCACTCTGACGCACAGGTTGGGTGGGATAGGCCGTCTCTGTCGCGCGCGAGCGGCGGTTGGAAAAATGCCCGGCGCGCGAAGAAGACGGGGCTTGGCGGCGCGGCAGTGAAAAAGAAGGAAAGAATTGGCTGGGAGGCACAGATGCTCCGACCAGTCGAAGGAGGAGTGTCGCAGCGCCTTTCGACGGGCTGAACCACCCCACCATCCGCAGTTTGCGACCCAGAGCGCCGCACTCTTTTTCCTCGCCCTGGCAAGAAAGAGAGAAGCACGCGCCCTGGCGGTAGTTTCTTCGGCAACGCAGCGCCAGAGCGGGACGGCCGGCTGTGGCGCGAGCGAGATGGGTGTGCAGAGAGGAGTTGGCAAGTCGCTGCCTCGCTGCCAGACATCCAGTTCGGTGTTTGTTAACACAAAAGTCGAACGATAAGCGCGCGGCCAGAGCGACACGGCCACAATCACAGCGGAGCAGTGTATACTCGTCGTCGGCGTCGTGTTCGACCCCCCAAAAAAAGAGGTAGAGCTCGGGCAGGAGAGCGTGCGAGAGGGAGCGCACTGTGTGTCTCTCTCCCTCTCGGATTTTCATGTACTTACAACAGTGTTTTGCTGTTGTATTGTGTGAATATTGTGTAGTGGCAATTATCTTGGCCAGGTGACATACAGAGACAAAACTGTAAAGCAGTAAAGTTTTGGCTACCGTTCGCGATCGCGTCGCCAGCGACATAATCAATTTTTATACACCACCTCTGGCTTGAGTCGTTTTCCGTGCGCGCGATTTTCCCGCTACACATCTTGCGGCCGCCACTTTTGCAGCAATTTTTCCTGCAAACGCACAGCGCGACCCGATTGAGCCCCCAAAAAGTGCGGAAATCTAAATTTGCTGTCGGTCTATGAAAATGTACTAAAAATAAAAATATCAGTGAAGTTTGTCACACAATAAAGTGGGTTTATTTTCCGAAGATTAATCGCGTCCATTTTGGCATGAAATGGATAGGCAGCTGAGACACAAGCGCGATCATACGAAGTACAGACAATTTGTCAGACAAATCTGGTACAAGTGTTGCCGCGAAACTGTGCAGATCTGTGACAGTGACATCTAGGTTCATCCCCTAAGCCCCTGTAACTATATATTCAAAAGTGGGTGCGCACATCGAGCCACAGTGACTGTTTGGAAGCGTCTTGCAAGATTTTTTTTTTCTAAATTGTGGTTCAATGGCTCGTCAACAGCAGAGTGAATGATCGAGACCGTGATTCGCGATCGGCGATCTGACTTTGTCGGAGCGAAAAACATGTCACATTTTCCCTTCCGAGGATCGCCAACTGTTCAGGTACTTAAGCATTTCTCCATTAAGCCATAATTCACACACAAACACCCCGCGAAATCGCGACGGCAAGAACTGTCTCTGACCTCGCACTGTTGCTCCAGAAATCGCACCGGATGTTACGCAAACGGAGCAGGAAATTCACACACTGGATTTGCTCACGCACTGAGATTTTCACGCCGCGTCAGAGGCAAGAAAATTGCCAAGTCAAGGAATGACACATATAAAAAGTGACAATGTTTGCACAAAATCCTGTGAAAGGTGGGGAAAAAAAAGAAGTCCATTGACGCACATTCAAAGCAACTTTCATTGAGGAGAGTGTAAAGTCCGTCGGTTTTTGCACTTCATTCATGTTTGCCTGCACGCCATTCAAGAAGAGCCGCGCGGTGTTTTTCTGCTAACATTGGCAAATGAACATTTTGTGCACTGGAATATTTCCCATGCAAAATTCATACGGGCCAGAAGTGCGCGTCCTGGGAAATTTTGGGGGTGGTGGCAAAAAGCTTGTTCGAAGGATGTTCCTCAGCATCAGCTGCAGACAATCGTGACGCCCATGTTCAGTGGAATTCATTTATGTGCCCCCGAATGTTGCAAAACATTCAAAAACCCCTTTCGCATTTACCAGCATTTTCATTGACTCCCAGTTCTATCATCATTTTCAACCCCTTCGTGTCCTTTTGCATTTATAAGCAGCTTCTAAGTGTGCAGATGCATAACTATGCTGTAAATCTTCACTTGACTGACTCGAACGTGGTGTGAGTTTTCAAGGGAGACTTTTGGGCTTTCTTCTCTCCGGCATTTTTGAGTATTTGTACGGAAAAGATAGATAATATTTGACCTAGTTTAGCTAAGATTTTGGGCAAAGTTCAGGCGAAAAAGTGACTATAAATCCCGTCGTCTTCTGATTAATTCTAATCAAGGCCGAACAACTCTCTTAAGGCATAAGAAATAGATTCGAATTCTTAGCATAATATTACACTTGCTTCTCATTGCTTTAAAGTTATCGACAAATAAGTTATTGACAATTAATTTCAGCTAAGTTTTCACACAATTTTGGGGGAAAATAGCTGAAATCGACAATCTAATGAGTAATTATTTGAAATAAATCTGATTTTTCCAGAAATTGCACGTAAATAATATCAATAACCGTCATTTGATCCTGGAAATGCCTGGAATTTTCTGATACGGACTAATTAGTCCTTAGATTGTCGATTTAGACTATTTTTCCTCTAAAATTGTGTTGAAACTTGGTTAACATTCATTTGCGATAACTTCAAAATTAGTGTAAAAGACGCTTAAGAAGTGTTTAATAAAAATATCATTTGAATTTTAGACATCTGCGACTTCTTCATAGGCTATAAATTTGAAAATGCTCAAGATTGCGCAGTGAAAAGCCCTTCAAATCCATGGTTTCGATGGCCCGAAAGTGGCAAATTGCTGAAAATTTGTGTATTGTCTAAGGAGTGTCTGGGAAACCTCTGGAAACCCTTTGGAAATGTGGTTGTTCTCACTCTCATTTACACATCATTCAACCAGCACTTTCACTCCTCAGGCGAGGAACATGTGTAGACGGTGTGTTTCACCCTCTTGAGGATTCACAGAGAGAAAAGTCAGAGACAATGTGGCAATTCTCTCACATCAATTCGCCATCAATAATGGCTGAGGTGGGTTAAAGTGATATTTAATTAGGCTCTTCAGGCAATTCGACGGTGTCTTCGAGATTGATTCATTTGGGGTTCCTTGGGCGGAATTCACGCGGCAAAAGGGTTGGCTTTTACCACCCTGCGCCGGGACTCAAAGTGACAATATTCTCAGGCATTTCAATTGACTGATGACGCTGATGACCGTGAAATTTGCACATCTCCAGCATAAGATTGATTACCAGCAACGCCAGAGTAATCAAAAACATGGGTTTTTTGCATAGGCGACTCATTGGGGATAAAGCGGGCAATATTCAACCTCTAGGTGAAGATTTATTATCTCAGACACACAAAAAAAAAAACTATTGGCAGCGCAAAAATCTGAGAGCAAGTAGCAAAAATGCACATTTGATGTTCGCATTCGAGAAATTCAACACCAACTGGCGACCAAAAAGCAATCTGCAAAGGGAAAGACAGAAGTCAGAGAATGTGTATTTTTGTCTTCTCGTCCCAATGGAAGCATTTCGAAGATTTTTCTCTTATCACACTCCAAAATCTATTTCGCTTTTTTTCCTCAGAGACGACCAAAGGTGCAAAAAATGCATCGATTTTGCGCGTTTGTGGCATTTAAACACTTTTTCATGAATGAAATTTGTATTCGGGTTTTTCTTATTCAAATTCTCCACTTTGTGAATGTTGATTTCTTGGGGCAAATTTATCTCAGCCAGAGGAGAGACTCTTTGGGTGAGTCGCGCTCTTTTGGACGTGCGGAGACAAATCTGCAGAAGCGCGCTGGGTGGAGAAAAAAATGCCATCGAGAGTCCTCCGGAGGTATTAAAGAATCAACTGGATGGTCTTGTAGCGTGAGACGGTTGGCGTTGAATTGTTGGCTAGATGGTGGTGGATATGGCAAGTGTGAGTCTCTTGCCTCCTGTCCTCCTTCATTCTGTCTTGCAACAAAAGAACACCACAAGAACCATCAGGCTCTTAAAAGCTAGAGCGAGACGTTATTTATTGGGCGGATGTCGATTTTGGTGTTGAGATAAGGAAAAAATGTTTATTATTGTAAAATGGCTTGCCAACACTCTTCGAGGCTCCTTCGTCTGTGTCTTTTGGGATCCTCGCGCAGCCAAAAGCTGTGAGGTCTGTTCGATAAATTAGCTTAATATGTTACAGCCATTTAATTGGGTGTTAGTTTTTCGGGAGGATGCTCGTCCGAGGGGCCAATCGTCCCGAAATTTATTACCCCTCGGCGACTCTCTCTATTGATTTTCTTCGCCAAGCCGAGAGAGCGAGTAATTCCACTTAAGCTGCACATTTTTAGGAGTCGCCACAGGAGAAGGGAAAAAAATCGAGCTTTAAGCTTTTGGCCATTCCACTGTGATCCTCGCAATGCTTGCAAGATCCATTTGAGCTCGTTAAAAAATGCGGGGACGATGGAAAAAAAGGACGAATGAAAGTGCAATTAATTTAATTAATAATTAAGACTCGGTCATAAATTTTACATAATTACACTGGCGTGCCAAACATATTTAGATCCTATGGCGGGCAAAGAGAAAGGATGCTTCAGGAGGTGAAATGGGGGGAAATAAGTTCACGAAAGAGATTCTTCTGGTGCCTTTTTTTCATCACTTTGTTCGGCCTTTGAAGTGTCGGAAGCGTAAAAATCACCTCTAAATACCTTCTTGTTACAACGCCTAGGAAAACAAGAGATGAAAGAAAAAATCACGCGTAGGCCGATATAAATTATAGCTGCTGCATATATTTTTTCTTAATTCTTTATTTCTTTGCGCTCTTCAGTCGGTGAATTCACCTGGATTAAGAGTGTTCAAAAACACATATTTATCGTCAACTTTGTTGATGGAGCTCAGAAGGGGTTTATCACTGGAGAACATCTAGTAACCTTTCTGCTTTTCAGCTTACTTGTGTTGCTCATTTGATCACTTTGGGGCAATCCTGTCCGAGAGAACATGAGCAAAACATCCATTTGGACTCTGTGAGCTTCTTGTAAGGATCAACAGAGTGTCTGGGAATTGACAAAGTTACAATTTATGACTCAATTCGGGGGCTTTTTCTCAATTTTAATTGATGAAATACAAAGTATAAGGGCTGGAAATCGTTAAAATGATGTACAATTCCGTCAGCAAAGTGACAATGCTAACCGAATAATGAAGAGAAAAGAGTGAAGATGAGATTGACAAGGTGTTTTCACATTAAATTTAACAGCTGTTCCTTCTTGACTTTTCGGCTCTCGCTGTCGTTGTCTTTCTGCCAGTGTGTTTGATTAAATAATTGGATTTTTATTGTAATTTAATTCTCTGGCTATTCTGTTTGACGGGAAGAACAAAAAGTGGAATATTTGAGTGCAATCCTCGTAAATAATTTACACGAATGGCTGTTTCTCATTCTTCAGCTTCTTGTGTGTCTCTCTCCTTTGCGAGTTTCTCTGGCCAAGTCCAGAGTGATTGTTTGTACACCATAAATTCGCTGATAAATTTGCGCCTAAATGGGCCCCATAAGAATTCAGCAAGATGAGAGATGTTATGCATGGCCGCAGTGGACGAGATTGAGCGCACTGAGAAAATGTATGGCCGACAAGAATTGAATGAAAAGAACTAATGATGTCGTCTTTAACATAATAATAAAATATATAAATTCACGCTACCATTTCTTGAACAATTTATCATTTCCGCAAGCACTAAAAACGTCCAATAAGGTCAGCAATTCCATCTTCTTTTCTCGGTGGGGCTTTTGTTTCTGCCACTATCGCGCCACTCTTTTCGAGTCCTCTCCACATTATTATAAATACAATATCTTTATGATTCCACCTCTTTTTCCCTCATCTTATATTAACACGTCATGTTAATTTCATTATTTCTTCACATGTTTTCCAGCGTTATTCTTCTTCTTTCACATGCGCTTTTTTCTCTTTAACCATTTCTCCGCGCTTCTGCGTCGCCTCTTTGACACGTCCATTGACGAGAAATCATTGAATTCAATCGCAAAATTTGGGGTGTTTTTCCTGAGAAATGCTATTTTAGCGCATTAAGACGTGGCTGACATAAGAATCACACCGCCAAAGACAGTGGCAAAGCTTCTCGTGCGACTCATAATCCGAAACTGCAAACTTTTTGCCCACTCAACACGACACAACAGAGGAGAATAAATTGCAAATTTGAATTAATTAATTAATAATGTGTAAATTATGTGAAGGTGACTGACACAGAAAATCCATCAATTTCTCTCTTGTCTTTCGTGATGTCAACACATGTTTAGTTTGCTGCTTTCGCGACACACCAAACTTTGTCCAAAGAAGACCATCTTGAGGAGTGAATATTGTTAAGAATTATGCAATAGAAGCATAAA